CCTCTTCTTTGATTCTCGGCTTCTTCCCTGGGCCTTTACCGTGGGTCTTGGGCTCTGCAGCATTTGAGGTCGCCAAACCTAGGAAGGCCTTTGTCTTCCCACAGCTACACTGGGATCAGGACCGAATTGTGGAGACTTTCATGCCACGAGTAGCAGCAAAGGGATTTAATCTTCGGACTTTTCCAGCACTTGGTGCTTTTCCTTTGCTGGCCACTTTCTCCTCACACTCTGAGGTCTCTTCCTTCCCTGGTTGGGGTCCTATAGGTCCATTTCATCTTCAGTTAGGGCTGATGATATGCGTGTTTTTCTAAGTTACCTATCAACAGTATTCACTGGGGATATTATCAATCCTCACCCTTAATGTAGACACGGCACCTGCACTATATGTATACTGTTGTTCGGTTGAATTTATATGATCCATGCATAATAACAAAGCCACTGAATCTTCATTGCTCCAAAATACTGGAAAATTCATGAACTCCTTTAGCATTTTAAGAAGTACAGGATGAAAGAAGCTTCTAGGTCTGTGCTTATTTTAAAAAAAAAAAGAAGACAAAGAAAACGAAGAAAAAGGGTGATTTCTGCACCCAAGTTTCTACGCCATGACACATTGAAACTTAAGAGAACAGAAAACAATTCCATGTCCTTGTTTGAAGTTGCATATACGTGGTTGTCACTTTTTAGAAAACAGTCCTAGGGAATCATCTTAGATTATCTGAGATATAGTCTATCTAGGGTGATGTCACCAATTTACAGTAAGTACAATTTGAGAAGTAACGAGGATTTATTCTTGCTTCTCAGAAAGGTGTGCTTCTTCTGAAATTTCTGAGAGAGATGAGCTCACATTTGGATGGCTGTACTCCAAAACCAGGCACACACACTCACAGATATGCAACAAATTGTGGATTACTCCAGGAAGTCAGCACAGTGACAGAGATTGATAATCAGCTCCTGGAAGACTAAAGTCATGAATCAACTTGCATTGGGTGAACCCCACACTCATCTAAAACCTGTCATTGGAGATACCAAGCTGAAAGCTGTCACTGAAACATGTTATCTTTGCAGAAGGCTGTCAAGCATTGCAAGTCAAGCAGAAATCCGCATCAGAGAGCCCAACGAATTGCCTTTGGCAGGCTTCCGGAATGTGGCACTCAGCTCTGAGATCTGATTACACCCAGTATGGCAACACTCCCGCCCACCACATTCAGATTGTCGGGGGGAGTCAATATTCCCATCACGGTTCTCCAAAGGATGCTCACATTGGAAATATAAAGCAGGACCACTGGTAAAGAAATTCTGAATTGTAACAATAAATGTACAATCTACATTGGAGACTAGAGGTAGGGGTGAAAAAGTGTGTACGGATAATCTTACCAGTCACACATTTTTCCTAAGCAGCTACCCAGATGGATGACTCAAGTTACAGGAGAGGGTAGCCTGTGATGAGGCAAGGAGAACTGATTATGAGAATATTACGGAGAAGAGCCCGGAGTCAGGAATCACGGTGCTGACTTAGTGAGAAGAAATTCTATGAAGAAACCAGACCAACCCAAAGCAACAGCCATGAATAATCTCAGATAAATGCTTATTTGGAGAAAGAAAATGGATCCTCCCAAAGTTGCACATGCGGCCACTTAGATTAAAAGAAAAGGCAACTCTGGGGCGCCTGGGTGGCACAGCTGGTTGAGCACTGACTCTTGGTGTCAGTTCAGGTCTAATCTTAAGGTTGTGAGATCGAGCCCCAGGTCCAGCTCCACATTCAAAGTGGAGTGTGCTTGGGTTTCTGTCTCCTTCTCCCTCTGTGCCACTCCCCCCACACACACCCCCGAGCTGTGGGGGCTCTCTATCCCTTTCTAAAATAAAGTTTTTAAACCAAAAAAAAAAAGAAAGAAAGAAAGAAAAGAGAAAAAGAAAAGGCAACTCTGTTGACCCATAATAAGAATGAAACCAAAGGGCTGACAGTGAAGTCATTTTAGCCCAGTGTGGGGGCTGTGGCCAGCCCAGGCTCTTGAAAGGGATTACTAAGAGTGGTTTGGAGTGACATCCTTGGTTACAAAGGGATCATTTCAAAAAAGAGAGAGAGAAAGAGAGTGAGCTTGTTTTAATGGGTTAGAGTTATAAGAGTTAAAAAATAAGATATGAAAAATATATTTAGTACCAATAAAAACCCAGGTAGCACTAGGCAAAGATACAACACCCCTGTGTTTATTTTCAGATCAGACAGCGGAGGACAGCAAGGCATTCTCTAATTCCATGGACAATCTGAAACTGGTAATTGTACAATAGTGATTAAGAGGGAGGCAGCTCTTTGTATTAGCCATGGTGAAAATACGATGTTCTGTGTTAAAAAATTTCAAAAGACAAGTGAGGGTGATGGGGGTAAAAAAAAAAAAAAAAAAAAAAAAAAAAAGAAGGAGATTCAAGTTGCTGGCCTGATAGATAAAAGGACGAGAACATGTTCCTCTGTGCCCTAATATAATAGGAAATATTAAAGAAAAAACTCAAGGAGGTAAGAATTTTACTTCCACTCATGCATTTGGCGCAGAACTGTCCAACAGAACTTTTTGCAATGATAGAACGTACTCTGTCTGGCTACCTCGCTATGGTAACTGCTGGCCCTTTGTGGCTACGGAGCATTTGAAATGCGGCTAGTACAACACTACCCATGATCTACAAATTTAATGTAATCCCTATCAAAATTCTAATGGCGTTTTTCACAGAAACAGTAAAAACAATCCTAAAATTCCTATAGAACCACAAAAGACCCTGAATAGCCAAAAGAATCCTGAGAAAGAAAAATGAAGCTGGAGGCATTTCAAACTATGCTACGAAGCTATAGTAACCAAAACAGTGTAATACCGGCATAACAACAGACACAGACCAATGAACAGAATCTAGAGCCCAGAAATAAACCCACACATATACAATATACAATCAACTAATATTTGACATGAGAGCCAAGAACACTCAATGGGAAAGAATCGTCTGTCTCTTCAATAAATGGTGCTGGGAAAATTAAATATTCATGTGCAAAGGAACGAAGTTGGATTCCTACCTTACATCACTCACAAAAATTAATTTGAAATGAATTAAAGACTTAAATGTATGACCTGAAACCACAAAACTCCTAGAAGAAAACATGGGGTAAAATCTCCTAGACAAGGGTCTTAGCGATGATTTTTTGGACAGAACACCAAAAGCACAAGCAACACAAGCAAAATCAAACAAGTGAGACCACATTGAACTAAAAAGCTTCTTTCCCCACAGCAAAAGAAACAATTTAAAAAATGAAAAAGCAATCTACTGAATAGGAAAAAAAAATTGCAAACTATACATGTGATAAAGATTTTAATAACCAAAATATGTAAAGAACTCATGTAACGTAGTAGCATAAAACAACAAAAACCCACTAGAAAATCCAAAAAAAACCCCCAAACAACAACAACAACAAGAAAAAAACCCTAAATAACCCTGCTTAGAAGTTGGCAAAAGACCACAGGCATTTTTCCAAAGACACACAAATGGCCAATAGGTACATGGAAAGTGCTCAACGTCACTAAGCATCAGGGAAATGCAAATCAAAACCACAATGAGATACCACCTCACACCTGTGAGGATGGCTATTATCAAGAAGACAAGAAATAAAAAGTATTGGTGAGGATCTGGAGAAAAGGGTACCCTTGTACACTGTTGCTGGGAAAGGAAATTGGTACAGCTCCTATAGGAAAGAGTACGGCAGCTCCTCAAAATAGCAAAAATACAACTACCATATGATCCCACAATTCTACTTCTGGGTATGTATGCAAAGGAAATGAAATTACTACCTTGAAGAGATATCTGCACCCCCATGTTCACTGTAGCATTATTCATAATAGCTGAGACACAGAAACAACCTGAGTGCCCATCAACTGATAACCAGACAAAGAAAATATATATTGGAATATTATTCAGCCATAAAAAAGAAAGACATCCTGTGCCATTTGTGCCAACATGGGTGGACCTAAAGGGCATTATACTCAAGTAAGTCAGACAAAGACAAACACTCTATGTTCTCATATATGGGATCTAAAAAAGCTGGAATTATAGAAACAAAGAGTAGAATGGTGGTTGCCAGGGGCTGAAGATGCAGTAAATGGGAAGATGTGATCAAAGGATATAAAGGGCCATTTTAAGAGAAGTAAGTTCTGGGGATGTAGATCATGGGGACTATAGTCAACAATCCCTTATTCTTCAAAACTGCTAAGGAAGTATGTCTTAAATATTCTCATCAAAAGAAACAAAGGAAGGAAGGAGGGGAGGGAGGGAGGGAGGGAGGGAACTGAGGATGTGAAGTGATGGGAGTGTTAACTAACCTAATTATGATAACCACTTGGCAATATAAACATATATGAAATCATCACATTGTATATATTAAACTTATTTAATGTTAAATAAAAGTCAAGTGAACTTCCCCCCCAAAAAACTCCACAAAGATCCACAAAAATGTGTATCCTCTGCTTTCAAACACTGCACGTAGACAACCTAACAAAGTCGGGGGGGAAAGCAAAAAAAGATATGTGGCTATTACAACTGAGGGAGTGAACTTTAATCTTACTTACTTACTGACTTAATAGTTAAATTTAAATAGCCATGGGGCTAGTGGCCACCATAATGGGTAGGGCAGATTTCTGAAAGTCCATTCTATATACATTTTACATATATGGATTCACTAAATCCTTACAACCCTATGAGGCTGATATTAGTTTATATGCATCTTTATTGTATTTCTAAAACCTGAGGCACAGAGTGGTTAAGTAATTTGCCCCAAATCACACAGCTAGGGGAGCAAGTGGCTGGTTCTTGAAGCAATTTAGCTGATTCCAAAGTTCTCACTCAGCTGTATGTTCATCAGAACAACATGCACTACTTAAGGGACAAATCATGGGTAAGGCAAATACTAGAGACAGGCAAAAATATTCCACATTGATTATTTGTTGACTAGTAAAAAAATCACAGTCTACCTGTTTTCCCTGTGTTTTTCATCCAGGTTTTGTTAGAAGACTCACTGTCGAAGCCATCCAGCTGCAGCTCCTGGTACTCTTCGCCGACCTGTGCATGCTGGTCTAAAATGTCTATGGGAGACTGGTGACGGCCCCTGCAGCTGACACTAGACGTGACCCAGTGCTCAGGACCATAGGCACCTGTTAAAAGAAAACAATACTTCAATCTTCATGCCCCAAGGGTTGGTGATGGAATGAACAGGGCGTAGGAAGCCAACCGCTGTATCTCTAAAGGTACATTTCCCCCCACGTTCGACTCCAAAGATGTCAGTCCGTTGAAAACTATGAATCCAAACCATTTGCTTGATAGGGTAATAAGACTGGAGAAAAGACATGTTCCTTAAGATAGTTTTGCTTCTTGATTTGTAATCAAACATTTGCTACTTTATCTGTAATCAGATTAAGGAAGCTGAGCAGAAGGGCTGTCAGAGTTGTTCTTATTTTTAAAAAATCCTAAGTAATGGGCGCCTGAGTGGCTCAGATGGTTAAGCGTCTGCCTTCGGCTCAGGTCATGATCCCAGGGTCCTGGGATTGAGTCCCGCGTCGGGGTCCCTGCTAGGCGGGGAGCCTGCTTCTCCCTCTGCCTCTGCCTCTCTCTCTCTCTCTCTCTCTCTCTGACTCTCATGAATAAATAAATAAAACATTAAAAAAAAATCCTAAGTAAGTCTTCCAAAATAAGCAAAGCATTTATTCACAAGAAAACACCTTCCTCTGTTCGGCATGTTTTGCTATTACCAATGGTGTACCAAACCTAACTTTCTTTTTTTTTTTTTTTAAAGATTTTATTTATTTATTTGAGAGAGAGCACGAGAGGGAAGAGGGTCAGAGGGAGAAGCAGACTCCCTGCTGAGCAGGGAGCCCGATGTGGGACTCGATCCCAGGACTCCAGGATCATGACCTGAGCTGAAGGCAGTTGCTTAACCAACTGAGCCACCTGGGTGCCCCAAACCTAACTTTCTTATTAGCTCCCAGGAGTCTGTGAACTGGAAAAAGAAAAAAATTAAAGGCACCATAATACAGGATGAGAGTCATTACAAATAATGGGTCAATGACGCAGGGTTTTCCTTTGGTTAATCGTGGAATATTTTTCAGTTGGGCCAGAATTTGTAAATTTGCGTGTTCAGGCACTCACCTCTCCTTCTCAATCCCTCCCAGGCAAAGGAGATGGAGGTATAAAGGTAACTGCAGATTGAACGCAGCTCTCATATAAATACAGGCTTTGGGGGCATATATGCTGCAAGATTAAGAGAGAATGCAACAGTGCAGAATCCTCCTGGGTACCAAGCAGGCACAGGCAGAGAGAACATACTGCACCGCCTGTCTGCACTACTTGGAAATGAAATAATCTGGGGGGACGTCTATTAAGTTGATAACAAGCTCTGAGATTTTTCTGCACCCAGCCTTGAACCTTCTTGACATGACAAAAAGCAGAAGGACCCATTGAAAGGAAACATCCTTCGCCAGAAAGATTAACATAAATCTCTTTCTAAGAATTAGGTATGAAATAAGTCTAAACGTTACAATTTTTAGGTTTCCCAATCAGTAATGTGTATACATATGTATACGTACATATACATGGATTCCTAAGATTTATAGCTTTAAACTTCTTCACATATCAGACAGAAGAGGATGAATGGCCAAAGTGATCGGAAGAGACCAAACCACCAACAATCAGTATTTTCGTACCTCACTCTATACCTAGCCTTGTGTGATGGAGGAGCAGAGACACAGAGTCTCCCTACTGCTGAATAAAAGCCCACACACCTGTGCCCAACCCACTGCCATGTTCACACAGGCCATGAATGTCCCCAACCCCCTAAGCCTCTACAGTTCACAGGTGGTGTAAACAATGGTCCCATGAAAAAAGAGACAATCACAGAACATCTTTTCAGTCTCAATAACGGAAGCTTCAAGGCTACAAGAGCAATTAATGCGACCCCCTGAAAATGGTGCATATTCTTGCTATCTGGCAAATAACTTGGCCTGGGTCATCTTCCCTAATTCTCATCCCAAACAGTAGGATAAAAGAGACTATCAGAAAGAACATGCTCACCACTTGGCAAAGGTTTAGCAACCTCAGGGCACTTTTCAAAATCATTTACAAGTGTCATAAGGCTTTCTAGAAAAAGTTAACATCACCATTTAAGACTTCTTGCTAAAAGAAGAAACATCAAGGGCTTTTCACTCATGTTTCTTCACCTCTTGGTCAAATTCCCTAAGACTCTGATGAGTCATAAAGGAACAGAGTGTGCATTTGCATATACTCTAGCCAAACTTTATTTTCATCTTGCATCATTACATTTGAAGGAAAAAAGGAGGCGAAAGGGGACATAAGGAACGGCTCCAATTTTCCTGTCCATTTTTTAAATTTTCTTCCAGATAAATAAAGTGATTGTTGATGTATCCCATGAGCTTCTATGTTCAAATTATGGAAACTAATGTTTTACCTTATTTTTTAAAAGATTTATTTATTTATTTATTATTTATTTTTAAAGATTTATTTATTTATTTGTCAGAGAGAGAGAGAATGAGTGCATGAACTGGGGGAGCGGCAGAAGCAGAGGGAGAAGCAGGCTCCCCGCTGAGCTAGAAGCCCAATGCAGGACTTGATCCCAGGACCCCGGGATTATGATTTGACCTGAAGGCAGATGATTAACCGACTGAGCCACCCAGGAATCCCAATATTTTATTTATTCATTTGACACAGAGAGAGAGAGAGCACACAAGCAGGGGGAGCCACAGGCAAAGGGAAAGGGAGACATAGGCTCCCTGTTGAGTAGAGAGCCCCAGGGCTGGGCTCGATCCCAGGACCCTGGGATCATGCCCTGAGCTGAAGGCAGATGCTTAACCAACTGAGCCACCAAGGCGCCCCTGGTAACTAGTGTTTTAATATCGTGCGTGCGTGCGTGTGTGTGTGTGTAATGACTTTTAGAAAGTCCCTAGTACGATAAAATTATACTCGATGGGAAAAAAAATGCACAGTAAAATAAATCCAAATATGTATGACTCCAAAGAAATAAGAATGCAAGCTGTCATTTGTAAAAACACAGACTCCTTATAATTATCCTACTAATAAAGAAAAGTACTCTACAACCTCTGAAAAGTACTTTCCATTCATATTATTTCTCAAAACCCTCTAGATATGGGTGAAATACAATTTAGCACTCTATAAAAAGATAACCAGGGTTCATACCAGTGGGATTAATTTATTCACTGGTAACAATCTGAAGATTTAAGCCGACTACATGCTTGCTTTCACAGTTCTACCCAATGTACATTCAAGTGCAATTTTAATTGAAACTGATCTTCCACTTCAGATTTTAAATTAATTTTTCTTTGGAGTGCTTCATGCTCCAAACACCCTTGCCTTGCAAAAACCCCTATGTCATTAGTGGAGGAAATGGAACACTTTTCCAAGCTTCGAGGTATTGATTACCTATTCTCACATCGAAGCACCATCGCCATTCCACACGGTATAAATCTCTTCAGTGTTAAGACACTTTATAAAGCACTGAGAATTATATCATTAATCATTTGCAGCTGTACAATCTCACAGTATTGAATGCTTTGTTTTTCAGAAGTTTGAATAAACGCTTTTAAGTAAAAAACATGACACTAAATAAAGGCCATGGTTAACTTAAACCTAGTTTTGGGAAGAAAACCAATCAGCAAGAAGCCTTCTACCCTCAGGTATGACATAACCCATCTAAAATAAGAAGGAAAAGTCATTCGCACTTCAGTTTCCCCTTACTGACTCTTTCTTAGAACGAGCAGGATATGTGCAGTTGGCAGCCGGACCCATTTTCAACAGCTCCCCAACTCTGACATGGCGACCTACTATACAAGGCTACCTTCTCAAAGAGGGCAGGGCGGAGCGGGAGGGCAGAAACCACAGGGCAGTTGGGCTGCCCAAAGTAATCTGCCATTCACCTGTTGAGAGTCTTGTGGCAACGAGATCTTAATGGAGACACACTGCCAACATATTTGCTGCAAGAGAATCTAACAGTGGCAGTGGAATCTCACTCAACCTGTGATGAAACAATACTTTCTTTTTAATGAATTCCACGAATGCATTTAAAATTCTTGGCTAAAGGTTTGATGTCATCGTAAACACACCCTTGTCATGGAGGGTTTCCATGAGGCATACACAAGGGTCGTGTACCATCCTGGCAATGGGCGCCTGTGTTTCTTGGGACGTCCTATCACTAATGTAATTTGGCGTCTATTCCTTAATTTAATGTCTGTCTTCCTCATTAGTTCATGACGCTCTGAAAATAGCTTCCTTCTCTGTGTTGTTCAGCATTATTCTTATACCTAGAGCAGGGCCCTACCTACAGGGCGCTGCTAGTACATATTTTTAGGCACAAATACATGAATTACAAGACGAGATTAAAGAGTTGCATAGTTGTGTCTTCTAATGACACTACAGTGCTATTTTGGATTTAATTTTATACTTTTATCTGCTGACTTCTTACTAGTCTTCCTGACTCCCTTGGTCTCAAGAGTCAGGATGTCAACCTCCTTCCTTTCATCACTAATACGTTAAATTAGTCTGAATATGGAGAAGGTAAAATAGCTCCAGGTGTATGATGTGCATGAAGGAATCTGTGTGCAAATTTAACAAGCCCACCAATTACAGTTTTTTAAAGAAAGGAATGTGACAGAACTTCGCTTTTAACGCCTCTAGTGAAGCATGATTATTTTTAAGGCTCTCTTATTTTTTCGATGCTTTAACAGAGTTCTCTATTGAAAGAAGGTCAGTTAAAGAGCAAAAACAGTCTTGTTAATCCGTTTATCACTGTAGACATTTAAATATGGAATTGACACCTGCTCAGTACCAGGCACCGGGCTATGAAATGGGTGCCAGCAGGTGGAGCTGCCACAGTTCCCCTGGGGTTCCCTGGACAACTGAAGCTGCTGGAGCCTCAGTCTGCTCATCTGTACAATGGGAAAAATTAGTGGTGTCACATCAAAGGGTAGTTTTGAGGATTACATGAGATAAGCAATGGAAAGTACTTTAAAAAGTGCCCAACAATGGGGCCCCTGGGTGGTTCAGTTGGTTAAGCATCTGCCTTCAGCTCAGGTCATGATCTTGGGGTCCTGGGATGGAGCCCGATGTCAGGTTCTCTGCTCAGCAGGGA